GAAAAAAGAGAAAAAAGAAAAGGAAATAGAAAAAAGAAAAACAAAAAGAAGAAAGAAGAAAGAAAAAGGAAAAAAGAAACAAGAAACAAGAAACAAGAAACAAGAAACGAAACAAGAAACAAGAAAAAGACAGGATGACAGGAGAGGAGGAGGAGAAGAGGAAAGAAGAGAACAAGTGAAGAAAAGAGAAAATAGAATAGAGAAGAGAAAATAGAATACAAAGAGAAGAGAAAAAAACAAGAAAAAAGAAAAATGAGAATGAGAAAAGAAAAAAGAACAAGAGAAGAAAAAAGAAGAGAGCAAAGGGGGAAAAGAGGGAAAAGAAGACGAGTAGAGATAGGAGAGGAGAGAAGAACAAAGAAAAGAAAGAAGAAAGAAGACAAGAAAAAGGAAAGAAGAAAGAAGTAAAATAAAAAAAGAAAAAAGAAACAGAAAAGAAAAAAGAAAGGGAAAAAGAAAAAAGAAAAGGAGAGGAGGAGCAGAGAGGAGGAGGAGAAGAGAAGAGGAAAGAACAAAAGAAAAAAGAAGAGATAAAAGAACAAAAGAAGAGAAAACTAAGAGAAGAGGAGAGAAGAAGAGAAGAAGAGAAGAAGAGAGAAGAGAGGAGAGCGAAGAGGAGAGGGGAGGGGAAAGAAGACTAGAAAGAAGAAAGAGGAAAGAAGAAAGAAAGAAGAGGAAAGAAGAAGTACAAGAGAAGAGAAAAAAGAAGAAAAGAAAAAGAGAATGAGGAGAGATGGGAGGAGAGGACAGCAAAGAGGAGAGAGAATAGAGAAGAAAAGAGAAGAAAAGAAGAAAGAAGAAAAGAAAGAAGAAAGAGAAAAGAAAGGAGGAGCAGAGGAGGTGAAGAAGAGGAAAGAACAAAGAAGGTAAGAGAAGAAGAGAAGAAAAATGAGAACAAGAGAAGAAAAGAAATGAGAAAGGAGAAGAAGAGGAGAAAAAAGAAGTGAATAAGACGAGAGAGAGGAGGAGAGGAGGACAGGAGAGAAGGAAAGAGAGAAGAAAAGAAAGAAGAGAAAAAGAAGAGATCAAGAGAAGAAGTGAAGAATGAGAGAAGGAGAGAATAAAGAAGAGAAGAGAAAAAAGAATAAGGGAAGAGAAAAAAGAAAGCAAAGAAGAGCAGAGAGGAGAACAGAAGAGAGGAGAGAGGAGAACTGAGAGGAGAGGAGAGAGGAGAGCGAAGAAAGAAGAAAGAGGAAAGAAGAAGGAAGAAAGAAAAAATAAAAAAGAAAATAGAAAAAGGAAAAAAGGAAAAAGGAAAAAGAAAAAGAAAAAGAAAATAGGAAGAGAAGGAAGAGAAGAGGAAAGGACAAAGAAGACAAGAGAAGAAGATGAAAAAGAAGAGAATAAGAGAAGAAGAGGAAAAAGAAGAGAAGAAGAGAAGAGAAAAAAGAAAATAGAGAACAGGGGAAAAGGAGAAGAAGGGAAGAGGAGAAGAGAAGAGGAGGGGAGAGAAGAGAGGAGGGAAGGAGAGAAGAGAGGAGGGGAGGGGAGGAGGGAAGGAGAGGGGAGAGGAGAGGTGTAGGGTACGGGAGGAGAGGGGAGAGAATGGAGAAGTAAAGAGACATGAAAAGAAAGAGGAAAGAAGAATGAAGAAAAGAAAAAAGAAAAAAGAAAGGAGGAGAGGAGAGGAGAGGAGAGGAGAGGAGAGGAGAGGAGGAGGAGAACAGAGAAGAGAAGAGAAGGAACAGAGAAGAAATGAGAGAAGAAACAAAGAAAGGAAAGAAGAAAGGAAAAGAAAAAAAAAGAAGAAAGAAAAAAGAAAAAAGGAGGAAAAGAAAAACGAAAACAGGAGGAAGATAGCGGAGAGGAGGAAGAGAAATGTAGAGGAAAGAACAAAGAAGAGAAAAAAGAAGAGAAAAAAGAAGAAGAGATAAAAGAACAAAGGAAAAAGAAATAAGAAAAAGGAAAAGGAAAAAGGAAAAGAGAAAAATAAGAAATAAGGAAAAATGAAGAGGAGCAGAGAAGAGGAGAGGAGGAGGAAAAGAAAAAAGAACAAAGAAAACGAGAAGAACAGAAAAAAGAACAAGAAGAAGAGAAAAAAGAACAAAAGGAGAAGAGAAAAAGAAGAGAAGAAGAAAAAAGAAGAGAGTAAAGAGAAGAAGAGAAAAAGAGAAGAGGAGAAGAGGAGAGAAGAAAGGAGAGAATTGAGAGGAGAGAAGAGAAATAGGAGGAGAGAAAAGGGTTTGGAATAAGAGGAGAGGAGAGCAAAGAGAAGGAGAGACAATAGAGAAGAAAGAGAAGAAGAAAAGAGAAGAAAGAAGAAAAGAAAGAAGAAAAGAAAAAAGAAAAAAAGAAAAAAGGAAGAGGAGAGGAGAGGAGGAGAAGAGGAAAGAATAAAGAAGAGAGCAAAAGAAGAAGAGAAAATGAACAAGAGAAGAAGAGAAAAAAGAAAAGGAGAAGAGAAAAAAGAAGAGAGCAAAGAGGAGGAAATGAGAAGAGAGGAGAAGAGGAGAAGAGAGGAGAAGAGGAGAGGAGAGGAAAGGAGAGGAGAGGAGAGGAGGAGGGAGGAGAGGAGAAGGGAGGAGAGGAGGAAAGACAGAGAAGACAATGATGAGGAAGGCAGAAAGATATGAGAGAGGGATGGGAGAGAAAGACAGTAAGGAAGGGAAGGCAGAGCAGGAAGATCAGGAAGGGAAGGAAGGGGACGGTAGAGGGAAAGCATGGAAGAGCAGGAAGGGACAGAAGAGAAGGCAGAGAAGGAACCGAAGGCGCAGAAGGGAAGGAAGGCATGGATGAGAAGGGATGGAGGAGAAGAAAGGGACAGAAGGACGGAAGGGAAGAAAGGCACAGAAGAGAAGGAAGATGGAAGAGAAGGAAGGGAAGGAAGGAAGGGAAGGAGGAGAAGGAAGGCACAGAAGAGAAGGAAAGCATGCGCAGAAGATGTGAAAGAGAAGCACATCACAGAAGGCATGCAAGAGAAGGAAGGGACGAAAAGGAAGGAAAGGAAGGCACACAAGAGAAGGAAGAGGGAAAGGAAGGCAGGCATAGAAATTAAGGAAGGCATGGAAGAGAAGGCTAGTGCAGAAGAGAAGGCTGGCACGGAAGAGAAGGAAGGTAGCATAGAAGAGCAGGCATGGAAGGAAGGAACGGAAGAAAAGGAAGAGGTGGAAGGCATGGAGGGGAAGGAGGGCATGGAAGAGAAGGAAGAAGGAAGGCAGGCACAGAAGAGAAGGAAAGGAAGGCACAGAAGGTACATAAGAGAAGGAAGGCATGGAAGAAAAGGAAGAAATGGAAGGCACAGAAGGCCCAGAAGAGAAGGAAGGCACGAAAAATAAGGAAGTCAAGGCAGAGAAGGAAGAGAAGGCTGGCACGGAAGAGAAGGTAGAGAAGGCAGGCACAGAAGACAAGGCAGGCACAGAAGGTAAGGCAGAGAAGGCAGGTACAGAAGGGAAGAGGGGGACAAGAGGCACAGAAGAGAAGAAAGGCGTGGAAGAGAAGAGCATTTCAGTCAAAACTGAACTCTTTTATTTATTACCACCTTTTCATCTGGACTTTGGCATTACGCTGTAACTCACTGTAACTGTGAACTCTATTCAGAGATGTCGGAGACTGTATTTTTCAGGCACTCTTGGTTTCGCTTGTAGCTGAGGGTCTTAGATAGAAACTTTAAACTGTTTATGTACACTTTAAAAGGAGAAATCCCCACATTCTCTTCCCAATTCATGAAAATTTAAAGCAGTATTTTTGATAGAATTAGGGGCAGAAAATAGCAGTATATTGAGGTGCCCCTTTAAAAGATAATTGGTCAATCAATATTCTCTAATAAAAGCTAAATGAGACAAGAAAGCAGAAGAGAATAAAAATGAAGTCAGAGGTAGAAAAATGGGTTATGATTTTGCAATTAGTACTTCAGTTAAGTTGCAGAAAGTAACAGGTCACATCTTCCTATGAGTAATCAGCACTAGATTGCAATTCTTCATGATCTAACGAAGGTTTCCAGCACTCATATACTGAAGGAAGGCATTTTTGAAAGCCAGTACCCTCTTAACAGTTAGTAGAATTGTGTTATAATTTTTTAAAGAATAGCATTAGGACCAGATAACCACATGCTCTTTTTGAGGGTAATTTCTACTTAAGTGTTTTCCAGGCTTTCTTTTTTTAAGAAGCCTTTCATTTCGCTGCCGTGCAGGAGTCTACGTGACTGGCTCTTGGTAACGTGGCTTTGCGAAAAACAGCTGGTAAGACAGGAATGTAAGCGTGAACAGTGTGTGCAAGTGTAATAGCACGTGTAAATAAAGTGCCCACGGTTGTCTGAGAGGGCATTTGCCCCCAAACTGGTGATACTAAGGAGGAAAGTTTGCTTTAAAAGACTTATCACTGGATTAAAGACCAACCAGGACATTATAAAGAGATTTCAGAGAAAAGGAAGAGTCAACATGAAAAAGAAAAATGAAAACTTCTGATAGGGGAAGAGAGAAGTGAGCAGAGCGGCAGTGAACCCCAAGTTTGGCAGCGCCAGCGGTCGCCCCACGGCATTGTGGCTGCCTCCCCGTGGGCCATGGCGGGTGCTGCACGCAGCTGGCACCAGCTGGGGGGGGCGGCACAGGTATAGCACGGAGGCACCCACACCTCAGGGGTGCCTGTGGTCAGCAAGGGCTTTCCCCCGCTGACGGAGTCTGTGGGCTGTTAGGGTGGCGTGAGGTCACGTAAAGCCACAGCAGCCACATCTACTATGGGAAGGGTATAAATAGGGGAGCCCCAACACCCAGAAAGGGTGTTGCTCTTGCAACCCACATGGCTATGAAGGTGCATGTGTGCATACAACTCCGTGTTTTTGTGTGAGTAGAACTTCTTGGAAGTAACTATAGAAGGTTTTTTAGAGATTTGGTTCATCTGTTGTATTGCTGATACGCATCAGCAAACCGCTTCCATCTTTACTGGATTTAAATTGTGTGAGTTGGGCAGTTTTTTTCTATGCCATAGCTTTAAGTAAGCACAGTGCTGAAAACAGAAGGAAACTCACGCAGAGCCTTGGTAGCAGTAAGATTTTTATTGACGTCTTGATGTGCTCGCTGAAGAAGCTTTACAAGCTTGCGTGAAGTAGCAAATTGGAGCAAATAAGCACACATCCTACCTGCCAGACCGGGTTTTCAGCCGGAGGTCACAGACTACTAGAGAGAGAAATGTGGAAAGATATGCACAGCTTCATCTGTTGTTTTCTCTTGAGTGGTTTAGCATGTGAATAAGTAACTTCCAGTTCCATATTCCTTATCATTAACATTTAAATTCTCCTTTAGAGAAAATTGAGGATTTCCTAAAACTTCTTCCCGTCTTCCTCCACCATCCAATTGGCAGGTACTCAATTCCATCTAAACAAAGATTTTTGGCAGGAATATATGTACAGTTCCAGCAGAAAAGGTTTCTAATGTCCCTGTTGGAAGCACTGAGCAAACAAAAACATAGCCACACTTACTTCAGCTGCAGTGTAATTCATTCACACCCCAGATAATTTGTTTACCATGGCCTTAAGATGGCTCTTCTCAATCTCTCGTCTTTGAACTTTTCAAGTTTACAAAAAACTAAACACTTAACGAGCCTAATGGCAGTGACTGACTCCACTCCAAGTGATCCATGCACTAGAAGAAAATATAGATCTGCAGAACTTTACGGGCAGGATAGTGATCTCCTACAGACAAATACAATAGTCACCACAAAACTTAAAACTTCTTAATAGTGGAAGCTGCGCAGAATACAGCACACTTCAGAAACCGTAAGGCCAGAATGAATGGCAAACAATTAATATTGGCACGACTTAAGAAAAGAAAAAAAAAAGAACGATCACCACAGACACTAGTCTCTTAAAAACTGTATTTTCATGTCATCCACTGGTCATATTGAACACTACTAAACGAAGTAGGCAGCTCTGCAAATCACTGTCATGCTGCCAGAGTTGCTTGCATGGGAGATGTACGTATTTGGGAGCAGGAAGTTTGCCTGACATTTAAAGTAATTTCAGAAGAAGAGTACAGTGCAACTAAGCTCTGCCGTTGAGAGCTTGAAAGCTGTGCGCCACACATTCATTAGGAGAGTAGTTTTAAATAAGTTCACGTACATTCCACAATGGTCCACAAACAAGAAATTTCCAAGGTGGGTCTTAGAAATGTTTAGGAATGAACAAACTACTCCTGGTCACCAAATTAGCTACGAAGTCTTCTGATGAGGACTCCTCCTCTTCTTCTTCTTTTTTTTTCTTATTTAAAAAAGTGTCTTGCTGCTTCTCTTAAACTTTTGTTTTTATCACATCAATTTTGTGTTGCACCTACTAAAATTTCCTCTTGTGTCAAAATACATGTTTTAAACTTTCAGAAGTTATGTTTGCAGCATCAGGGAAGCCTTTCTGAGTGAAATTAGTCTGTGCAAAACTCGTGGCAAAGAGATAGAACCAGTTCTGGTTCCCCACCAAAGCGTGCAGTTAACTGCTGCTCTCAGCAGCTCTTCACAGCATTATTTATACTATGCTCCTCATGTAGCCACAGATCCACAAGCTACCTTGGTTCATAACAGCATTGTTTTACAATCGGAATAATCGTCACAGAGAGATGTGTGTATCAGCTTGACACAAGCAACACCAGGCTCAAACAGTTTTTCTAAAAGCTCTGATGTTAAGCTCTGCACCATCTTTTAAACACCTCACAGCAAAATTTTTACATTAAAAAAAGAGAGAGGCACAGCAATACATTCTTTGCCAGATCACCAGGGGCGCATTAAAAATCATCTGGAAAGGAAGGGAAATCTTAAAATATTACATCTCTTTGGTCATTGAACATTAAAGCCCTTAGCGCCTTAATCTCTTTTTGACCAGCTAGTTGAGACTGAACTAGATTTGTACAAAATACGCAGCTCCTGTGGCTTGTTAGTATTTATGTGCGCATTGGATATACTTGTGAGATTAGATGCAAAATTCCAGTACAAATATTAAAGATATCTTTATCCCACAAAAGAGAAACAAAGTTGCTTTTTCATGTATAACTAACCCTTATTATTCTTAGGAGTTACTTTAAAGCTAAACATCTGAAGAGCTCATTTTGTAATCAGAGTGGCTGCATTAGCAACATGGAGTAACTGTATACAGACCTGACAAATCATGGCAAGTCAAGCATTAATCAATACCACCGAAGTTAAAAGCACCACTTAATAAAATTACAGTTCAGTTCTGAAGACCCACAAATGCCCATTTCTGTGAGTGCTACATCGAAATCCAAAATGTTATTTCTGAAAAATTGCAAATTTTTTATTAAAAAGGACACAGGCAGACACTGTTTTCCTGTCAGTTTAGAAGGCTTAGAAAGACAAATATACGCGTATGTATGTATATATTGCACTCACCATTTAGGAGTTCTTACCTGTCAAGTATATTTTCTTTCTACCTTTTTGAATAAAATCAATGGGGTCTTTTTCCCTGTACTGTTTTTCTTTCCATGTAACGAGAAAAACTAATTCTAATTAAAAACTAATTAGAGCCCCCTCCCAACCTGTGGCCCTCAGGCCTCTTTCACACAAATAAAATTGCATTTGCCCATTTCCAAACATCCAGTGACAGAAGAATTACATTTTTTATTCTGTTCTTTCTATCTTATAGAAGTCATGGACTGCTTCAGATTATGGTCCTCACATCATTGCTTCTTTGTTTAACTGTTGCTGCAGATGTATAGCATATGGGACAAACTGGTGCCTGCCTTAACTACAGAAAATTGTTAACAGCTATACATTAGCAGGGTTTAAGAAGTGAATAACTACTTCCCGACTTGCATAGCTGGGTAATATGTTTCCATACAAGATGTAACATATTCTCCAACAGATAAGATGTATAAGATGTATTATATAAATCAAGGAACCTAAAAGAGTAGATTTTATTTATCACAAATGCATTAAAAGTAAGCCACCATTTTGGTATTCTTGTCAGTTCTTTATTGGTTTTCATCCTAAAGACTAGCACATTTACAGTATACATGGAGTGGATGAACTAGGAATATATAAAACAGTAGCCATATGTTTATGATATATTAATACTGCCCAAAACCAAATAAATAAAAATATTTCAATGCACAAAGCTTGGCAAATACAATTGTGTTGGGACAAAACAGTGTTGTATTATACAATAATTTTACATGTATAAATGAAACAAAAGGCAACTGTGCTGTAGGTACTTTCACAGAACATACACAGAACATACTTGGCAACAGTTTTCTTTTTTTTACCTTTGTATGTTTTTATAATTAAAAAAATGTACTCAAAAAGAACATTAGACAGAACTTCATTTTACAGTAATCCTTAAATTTGCCTCTCCTGTGCAACAGTAAAGCTTACTTCACCTTTGTGAAGTTTCCTATACGGATTCAAAGTTTCACAGTTTTTCTTTTTTGATGAACTGCTCAAGATCTTGCTGTTCGTTATGCCCTTTAAACAAGCCCACTGACGTGCATGTACTGACCATGCTGAATACATAACGTTAGGAGGACAATGATGCTTTACACGTAAGTGTACTGAAATCAGAACAGTTTAAACAAAAAAGTGCAGTACTTGAGACTGATATTCCACCACTTCAAAAAGGTGAGCAAACACCACGCACCTACAAAGCTTGGGAACTGTTTCTGATCGGATGGGTATATAGAAAAAATAAAGGGTCACTAAGCTCTCGAGTGGATCTAATCATTACTGGGCCACAATATTAGAGAGTGGCTCTGCTAATTGTTACAACAGACCTCATGTTATTTTCTTCTGAAGGCGAATATCGGAAGAAGATTTTTAGTGTACCAGTATAAGATTTAAAATATATAATTAACTATCTGTTGGAAATATACAAAATAAAATTACCAACTCATAAAAACTAAAGGATATAAAGAGTATAGTCTATACAAAAATAAATGTAGCATTTAATAAAGGACCAGAAACTGAAGGTTGAGCATAACTTATGGAGTAACACGTCCGAAGAGATCTTTTTAAAAAGTTTTTCACCATACATTGTTTTTACATATTGGCAAAAAAATCAATACAGTAGTTTGTTAACTGCAAAGCAGAGTTGCTAAGTTTCCGCGGGACTGTTCTACTATGGATTATGTGTTCTGAACTGATATAGGTACTAGACATATATTGATTTTGCCCAGAAATTGTTTTGTTCTCCTATAAAGACTGAAAGAAATAACGGTAACAACCTAGTTCAGCAGAACTCTCTTAACTGGCTTAGTGACATGCTGCTCAGTGTTAAACTGCAGAAAGTAAAATGCAAAAACCGCTGTACTTAAAACCCCCAAACCTATATGGGAGCAGAATGAACATGACTGATAGAGCAGTGACAGCACAGACAAACATCAGTGAGAGGGAGAAAGAAATCAGAAAACAGCCATATACTTACCTGGCTGTTGCTACTCTCACAACAATAATTGACCAGATTTTTCTATTCTAAGGCTTTTATCCTTAGGAATGAAGAAGGAAAGAGTACAGTGGGCTGAATTAAACTAGCTAGAGATGATTTAAGCCTGTAAAATTCAGAAATTAATGTTTACCTGTGTCTTGAAAAGGTATCTTATCTTCAAAGTCATTCTTTGGGAGATTATTTTCAAGGAGATCTGTTGAACATTTTTTATCAAATGCTCAACTAGTCACCTTAGTCGTGAGCTTGAACACAGCTGAGTTTCTCACACATCAGCAGTAACATATTAGCAGTTGCTTTCTACCAAATTGGGCCATTGCTACCTTTCTCAGGAATATTCTGAAAACAGGCATATTTCCTACACATGATTCTGAACAGAGTCTAGCAAGGTAAAAGGCAAAGCTGAACAGGAAATTTTTTTGTTATGGAGTAACTGGGATGTGTTGGGCACTTCAAAATTTTTGTACTGCCAGATATTGAAAAAATAATGCCAGTCAAAAAAACATAAATCCCCAAGATATTAATGCTTACAATAAAGAAGTGATATAAAAAGCCATGGGTAAACATTATACAATACCATGACACATATTGAACATTTCACGTGCAACATCAGCAACTTGCTTGTTGCACTTTAACTATGGTTGGGAACTCTTCCTGGCATTAATATTTTAGAAAGTGTCATTATATGTTTGAAACATTTTTAAAAATCAGTTGTGTGCCCAAGTCTTTTGCTGCTGAAAACAATGGGATTTTGTCTTTTATTTAGACAGAACTAGACCTCATATGTCTGGCCTTATATGTACTAAGTTCATATATGAAGATGGTATCCTATATACAGCAAAACATTTCATATTCCTGGCTTTTAGGGTGCCCCCCCCCCCTTTTTAAGTTAAAATCTGTTTCGTGATTGTAACAATGCATTCTACAGTTCTTAGACTGTTTAGGATCCAATCCTTTTTTATTTACAACTTTTGAGTTTTACTCTGTTTTAAAAAGTTTATGAAAAGCTCAATCTCAAGTCAACTCAGTATAAAAGATGTTATGTGAAACAGCTGCCTAAATGCCAGTCATAAAGTCCTTGTCCATCCAGGAGGTACCTAGCTATTTGCATATAGGTAATTAAATGGTAAAATATCTGTCCATCTTACATACACTGAAGGCTATTTAAAAGGGCAGAGAGAGTCATCACTATTCTCAAGCTAAGGTGTCAGAATAATTGTTACTATAGATTCCAATTCTTTAAGTAACATGCTCTGAATAATCTAGTGAAACGTACAAAAAAGTTATTTATCTGTTCTGGATGACAAAATCATATATTAATCTAGAGTGTATCCACATGTTTTAATGGAACAGCAATTAAAGGACATAGTATGCTTATGTTTCAACTTTTCCATAAGTTCCTTCTGGAGGCCTGTAATACTTTGGGAAAGCCTTCAGTTGCAGGGAATTAAATGCATACTTGCGACATCCAACATTCTTCATTGTATTTTCTCGTCGACAACCCTCACTGGGGAAAAAAAACAAGCACAAAAAATGACAGCAGTAAAAAGGAAAAAAAAAAGAAGACTTAAACTAAGATGAAATGAACTGGTTATTTCATAGCATTAAAAAAAAATTGGTTATATTTAATGAGCATTTAATTAATTTGCCACTGCAAATATTAAAAATGATGACTCATCATACAATGCTAGTAAGAAGCACACAGAATGGACACATGCTATGTTTGATTGCTAGTTTTGCATTTCTAAAAAGCAGCAGCGCATCTAGTGAAAAAGTTCTTACGAGGGTTTCATGTATTTCAGGGCACATTGCTGTCGACTTCACAGGCCGCTTCACTGCACGAAGGATCCCAAGAGATTGCTTAAAAGCAGTTCTGCTAATTTGTTAGTATATTAAATTGAAAAAGAAAAACTGCTGATCTCTTAATAAGAGCCTTAACATAATTTTATTATTCCCTGTATGTGAGTAATAATCAGATTTAAGATCAAACTTGAAGATTAGAGCTGATGCTAAAATAATGACTTTCCAGGTATCTTTGCATGCGCAGATTGGCTTGAAAGCAAACATACTCTGAAAAAAATCTTAAATCATGAAATAACCGCTTTGTGTGGGTGAAAAAACAGATTGGCTGCTTTGATAGTCATCACCCCAAGAAAACAAAGCTGTGCAGAATTTAGAATCTAATTTTTTCCCAACTATTTTGGTGCAACTGCCCCACATGACATAGAGGTTCTAGGCTACAATACAAAACTACTCCAGTCACAAGGCTTCCTTATACTTGCAAATCTATGTCAAAGTTCCTTTGATTATATCCAAAACCAGATATACAAAGAGGAAGCACTATATTTTATATATATATATACACTACAAATCAATTTAGGCTTGCATGAGAATGCCTTCTTTTTTTTCTCTCTGATAGAGAACTGAAATCTAGACAATGATTTAACACTATTACTCGACGGCAAAATGTACAGTACACCATCTTATGGTGGAAATGTCATGTTAGTTCTGTCTTGGCGATGTCTGCAGCATGTAGCATAGGTAAACTGTGGTAATCCGATTCAAAAGAAGGGCTTGGATTCCAGCTCAGTTTGAAAGCTTTCTGCTCTTATTGATCCTCACTATTTTTTAAATTGGCGTTAATTAAACTGACTGTAACCGCGTTATGTATGTACCACCTAGCTTAACTTCATAAAACATTGTAACTTTTTGTTCTAAAAACAGGTTAAGTTTGAAATTTGTCTCTGTAACATGTTCTGTGACTGTCTTCTATAGAATGGATCCTACACTGTTACACTATTTTTATGACATTGTTCTGTGTTCTACAGAAACACCCTCCCAAATGCTGTTGCAGTCAAATAGATTCATCACAAAATCACACAAATTATATTTAAGAATAGTAATAGAAACATTAAGTTTAAATAACAAATATGCAATGCCGAGTGTGCATATTCAATCCAAAGTGAATCATTCTGCTCATAGTTCATTCCACTGTATCTGGTTATTGCACATGCCCAAGTGGGCCACCGAGATGGTAACAAAGATGTATTTCACGCACCATTTCATGTGCCATCTCTTTCACCACTGTGAATCAGACGGAGCCCATCGGCTCCACTGGCCCTATGTCAATTTACAGCCAGTGTGCACGTGACCCACTGTTTGGAAGTCTAGTTTTTAGACTGGGAATGATGATGCTTCTCATTAACCTCAGAAATCCTTACTTGACCACTAGGATAGCCTGGACACAATAAGGATGGCCTGGTAATACCATATGGTGTCAAATGGACTGAAGCTTCCTTCATTCTAAAGATTTTAATCCAATCTTTAATATAATCTTACAGATACATCGATACATAACCAGTCATCAACACACAACCATAATTTTTTAATACAAAATCTGATCTTTACCTTAACTAAAATATAATTGAATGCTAAGTATATAGAGCAAAGATTATTTTTAGTACTTATCAATGTTCAATTAAATGAATGCTGAAATTCCTGCCCAAAAGTTATTCAGCTGAATTACACACGTAAATCATTATACATTCTCACAAAGTTAGCAGAGATTTTTCAAAGGGTTAAGAACTGGTATCTTGTGCTGCTGAACACAGCTGTGCCAGCTCACAGCTTCTGTGTTTATTATACTGCCATTGCTATGACATACTAGCAATCTCCTCATCACAATTTCCTGAGCAAAGGTTTGGGTCCTTGTAAGGTATTGACCACTCCTAGGAAGGACTTTACCTTCTCAACCATAACTAATTTCATTACTGACTCTTTCTGGAAGTCTGATGAGTCACTTTAAGAGTTCATCCTGAGCCTAATAGAACAGTTTTTTCAAAGAATAAATTTCTTCTGGTAGAGGCACATGAGCAGTATACACTACAGCATTTGAAACGTGAACGCATCATGAATGTATAGAGCAAGCTAAAAAAGAAAAAGAAAAGGAAGAATCCTTGTCCCCACTAAAGTTAAAAAGAAAAAAAAAGCCATTGTTTTCAAAATGCCGAGGCTTTCATGCTACATGGAATTAAGAGGCTTCTTATTGCAGGCCTAATCTTGCCCAATGATAATCATGTTGCCTCAGTTCAGCAAAGCCCTCACACTTTATTTTAAATTCAGGGAGTTCTGTGGAAAAACTCCTATTAAAGCTACTTTTACATCTTGTTAATATGAACCCATCACACTCAACACATGTTAAAAACAAGGCTAACGGCCAACCTGACATTCCTTGACATAGCGAAAAGATAGATTTTGGTACCCATAGCAAATGAATCAGTGTTCACATCAGAAAGAAGATATGATTTGGATAGAGACACAGTGGTATCAGATACCAGCACAGGACATGGATATGCCCAATACCGTCATGCCATGATTTTAAATCTCATCAGCAGTCAGGCCTTACCTAAATTCATTCCAGCTAAAAATAAATAGGATATATGTTTAAATACATATACTGGTTTGAGTGGGCTTTAAAAAAAAGAAAAAAAAATTGGAAGAATGTTGAGAAAAATACCAGGAGATAGTGTACTGTACAATCTGATTTGGTGAAGAAACACATTTAATCATGTACTTTTTTATTTAGTTTGAAGAGGAAATGAAATATCCAAATTTAGTATTTTATTCTAATTTTTATTCTAAGTGCGCTTCTTTCTTTTTTTAAGCTTACTTCTCAGAAGCTTTCAAAATCCATTAAAACTGATAATAAAAACTATAGATACCTATGTTTTTTGAGCCAGTTACCTTAACAATGGTACAAATTACAAATCACAGGACTAGAAGAGTCCTCCTCAGTTGCCAAGCCCAATCTTCTGTCATCTCAGCACCAAGCCAAGTAAATCCCTTCATGAATTTAGCAAAATTTTTTAAATGAGGTTAGGTTTATTCATCAGCTATTGCTATTCACAAGCTTTTCCAGAGCCACTGTATCATCAACATCCTTCAGGTTAAATGGTCCTTTCCCTGTTTGATGTTATATATAGATAGCAATCAAACTTCTTCCACAGTTACTTTGCATGACTAAACAAGGTAAGCTTCTTTAGTCTCACCATTTAAATATTAGCTTACCATCATTCATTCATTTATCTCTAAGTCACTGTTGTTCAACATAAAAAGTTATTAAAGCTATCCAACATTTAAAAATGGAAATAACAATAATATTTAGTTGAGTGTCATTAACACAAAGCCCAGTGGAAAACCTCAAACCCAGCTACTAATGGACCTGATACATCCCTTTTCTTCCTTGAAATATTAAAAATTAATATCTTTAACTTCCAAGATAATAATTATCCTGTTTCAGAGTAAGTTATACAACAGAGCACCTGAAATGGATAATGGATCATTAGCAGGCTACACGAATTGCATACTCTTCCTAACCACGAGTCATTCTCTTCATGTCTTTAATACATTACAAAATGCAGATCTACAAATATAATGAAATAATTCTGCATGCAGCGCACCACCAGTTGTTTTTTGAGCGGTACACTCTTCTATTGAAACATACTCAATCATGAGAAAGGAACAAGACTATGGTTCTACAAATTGTTTATGACTGTAATTTAGAGATTACGCTTTGAAATGAAAGTAGAAATTTGTTAATTTGTTTAAATAAATTTCTTATAATTTCTTATAAACCCCACCCATGTTTTTATTTTTCTCTTCGTACCTTGTAAAAATGAAAGGCAAGATTAGCATACACTTAAATATACAAAAAGATACAAATTCTTTTCAGACAGAGTTCCTTTCTCTGGAATACATGAAACAAGTAACATAAAACTATATTTGGTAAGAGATCTTCAGGCCGGCTAAAGTAACGAGGTAACAGGCCAATGTCAGACTATGTTACAAGCACTGAAAGCAGAACAATAAATTTAAAGTTTCAATACAATTCTTTTTGATAAAATAATTTGATGTATATTTACAGTTTAGTACAATAGAAACGTAAAATTGTAAGGCATAATAATAATTCTTGGCAGACAATGCTATGACACATTCCTTTGTCCAGCAGGTACCAAGTGGCAATACACATTCAAGCGCTTTTTTTTTTTTTTAAACGTTATCTTCATTTGCAACGTAATCTGGCCACCAGGTACGCTATGCTGAGAAACAGCCACACAATCAGTAAATTGGGGCTGAGAGCTAGTAAAGGAATAGAGTAGAGGAGGCTGGGATCTAGTCTGAAATCTCGGATGGGCACCAAGCCACTCAAGTTCTTCTGGGTGACTATCTCCCGTGTTCCAATGCTGTGAAAAGGAAGAAGTTTGGGAAGAGGGAAAATAAAGCAGAAGGGAAGATGGACATGCAAATGAATGTATAAAAAGAGAGAGCAACACAAGGTGGTCCAGAAAATGAGAAAACATGGAAGAAGCCACAACAAAACCAGAATATGAAGTAAAGAAAGAGTGGAAAAAGGTCTCAAAAATATATATCAGCACAATTACAGATATAGGAGA